CCATCCATCCATCCATCCATCCATCCATCCATTGTGTCAAGCACATTTGTACATTTGTTGCCATCATCATTTTCAATACATTTTCTTTCTACTTGAAACCTTGGTATCAGTTCCCCATTTTTTCCCTTCCCTCTCCCTCCCTCCCTCATGAACCCTTGATAATTATAAATTATTTTTTCATGTCCTGCACTGTCCGATATCTCCCTTACCCCTTTGTCTGTTGTCTATCCCCCCGTGAGGGGGGTTATAGGTAGGTCATTGTGATCGGGTCCCCCTTTTTCTCCCCACCTGCCCCTTCCCCTCCTGGTATGGCTACTCTCAATATTGGTCCTGAGGAGTTTATCTGTGCTGTATTCCCTGTGTTTCCAGCTCTTATCTGTACCCATTTACATGCTCTGATTTGTAAAGTAGAATTAGGTTTATGAAAGTGGGGGGTGGGGAGGTGGCCGGGGAGGAAGCATTAAAGAACCAGAGGAAAGCTGTATGTTTCATCAATACTAGACTGCACCCGGATTGGCCCGTCTTCTCCCCGTGACCCTTCTGTAAGGGGATGTTCAATTGCCTACAGATTGGCTTTGGGCTTCCACTCCACACTCCCGCCTCCTCATTAAAATGTTTTTTTTAAACACAGTGAAATAAGAGAGATCTTATTTGCCATCGTCTGACTATACCCACTTTTTAAAAGGACAAGGACAACAATCTTTTCTCCCCCTCTTTTTTCCCTTCCCTTTCTATGGGGTGACAATCTGAGACTTAAAACTCACAGTCAATGCTAACTCTTGCTGACCTCCTGTGGGTTTCCGGACTGTGAGTGTTTATGGGAGTAGAAAGTCCAGTTGTTCTCCCTCGGAGCTGCTGGTGGTTTTGAACTGGTTTTTACTGTGGGGTCACAGTCCAATTCAGAAGTACAACACCACCACGCTCCATCTGGGAGAGGACACGACAGCTGAGCTGGACTATCAGGGGTAGTAGAACAGGAGACAGAAACTACCAGAAGTAATAATCTAATTCCAGAAATGGAGAAAAGTCCATTAGAATTTTCTTGGTACCCTTGGTGCTGACATTTCTTATGCTTGGAAAGAGATCAGCTGTGTCTCTGGGTGACCATGCTAACAGATGTAAGAGATTATCCGAAGACAGATGAAGTTAGGTACATTTAATGAAAGCCTGGAAGCCAGGCTGACTAACCTATAAAGCAGATAGTTGTTTAAGTAAGTGGGAATTCAGAGGGCGGGCGTCATTAGAAATGGGGTCTTCA